ACATACTGAGTATCTTAAGAGTGCGGGTACGTTGTAGGACATACATGACTAACTCTCTAAACGCTCACGCACACCATCAAATGCCAGACAGAGACACCATCGATGTGGCTGGGCAAAAAAAAAAGCCACTGTCATTTTCGCCAACGGCTGTCTCTTCTCATATGACAATCCTCGTCAGCCTTCGGAGAACACAAGCCACAATGACCTCCAAACACCACCTCACCACAGCTGACATACCACGGTCACCAGTCATGGAGCCCTCAAGATTCACAAGAGATGGGGCAGGGGTTCACTCATTTACCCTTTTCTTTTTTCCTTCTCCTCGGAGGACTTGTACCTGGGAAGGAGGCATGGGATGGGTCCCGCCAAGATGAGGCCGTCTTTTCTTGCCAAGCCTTTGATGCAAGTGAACGGAGCACATTTTGGGCAAGAGACGACCAGGGTGACCTTATTTCTTACGTCGCTTGCCAAGCACAGTGAAGTGTTTGATTCGAAAACTTGCCCTTCACTAGGAACTCGGGACGGAGAGCCAGGCCAGCTTCTGCTCTTCCGTTACAGAGCGCGTCCGTTTCGCATACTTGTCGTAGTGGTGAAGCCAATCTCTCTCACCTACCAAGGAAGTCGAGGCGAGGTACTCATATTCTTGGGAGTGTCTGGAGCTTCAAAGGCGGTTCAGCAAGTGTCTCGACCGTTATGTACTGGTCTTATGATATCTCCCAGGAGCAAAAATGACACTAAATTTTCACAGTCACAAGTCCAACCGCATGGGATAGTAATATTCAACAGCAAGGGAGGATACTGGCCGAATTGCCCACTGCCAGGCATGCCAAAGGTACTTTTGCCAACAGCCTGCAGGTACACGCCAGAATGAATCCCCCTTAAGGGCAGGCACAAGTGTGTCGTTTGCCAGATGTTGGCTCCGCACGATGTATTGCAATGTCTCACTGCCACGCATAAAATTGTTCGTGCTACAGACGAGGGTTTGGAGGTGACACGCGACCTTGACAAGGTTCAAAAGGCGATATATGAAATGACAACCTGGAATGAAGACAAGACGTATTTAGACAGAGCTTCCTTTTCAAATAAGCAAATGGTCAGGCCATCGACCCTGCCCAAATACAAAGATTGGCTAATCACGTACCGTCTCCGTCAAAATCGTGCCATTGCAAGTAGGGAGCAGAAACCAACAGGGCGCAAGGAGGCATCTCATCTCCCAGAGCGTTCCGAGCAGATCAGCCGACAGCAACTGTATCTTTCAATGTGCCTTTGAAATCTCAAGTCATACCCTTATTTCAAAATCAACCCCTGTATGTTGCTTCAGCAGCTCCGTTTCTTTTCTTTTCCTAGATTCGTCTCCGCCAAGTGTCTTGGCCTTGGGCGGCATGGCCTGCTCGGTCCTGAAAGTCACCACAAATCACCCAAAAAACTTCCTTGCCCAGGTGTTGTCATTTCGACCAAACTTTTTTTGTTGCATTGTTCTTTTCTGTATCTTATCATTTCGGCTCCCGTTCGCCATTTTAGCGATGCTAAAAAAAGAGCAGCCATAATTTCCTGGGACATGGCGTACAATGATCCCAACTTTCGTCGCCATTTTATTCCATACACTATGCCATCCATCTTCCCAAACATTGGTTTCTGCATAGCAACCTCTATTCAGGGCATACGGTAATAGAGATTCGGCGAAGCGGCTTCGTGACCATGAGGCTTACTCGCTTGCCGACGAGTCCAGCTTCTGCAACTTAACGTGGTACAAGTTGGTCGCTTTGTGGCCGGCTCTCAGAAGCTCGATATTGTCCTTGATGGCTGTTAGGAGAAAATGTCAGTGTGTGTTTCAATAGCTAGTGTACCATAGAGGATGCCGTAAAGAATGGGACGGCGGGATGGCCTTAAACTCACGTCCTGCCTTCTCCTTGGCCTCCAGGTGTGCCTCCCGGCTCGTCCAGCCAACCACCAACTTGACAGCCGGTCCAACCCACGACACAAGCTCCGGCGCGGCCTGCACAGCTTCCGGTGCCAGAGCCACATCCTCGACCGTCTCAAGTACGGCGTTGCCCCGGTATCCTGTCGACGTCGCGTCAGGCTGAGCGTCGATGAGGCCGGCAAACTTGCGCACAGCGGCCGCAAAGATTGACGGTAGCGCGTCGTAGCCAGTGTACACCTCCGTTGTTGGCGCCTCAAGTACGGACGTCAGCCTGCCACGGTCGGCTTCCTCGATACCGAGCACCTCGACCAGCAAAGGCGCAGCGTCCGTCTGCTGCGAAATGGCGAACGCCTTGCGGCTGTCAGCCGTGCGCCAAACTGGAAAGAGGGTACGTTAGCATAGTCGGTGCAAACGAACCCGGTGCTTCCGGGACTTGATGAACTCGATAATGTCGAAATATTGATGGATACGAAGGACTCGGCGACCACTCAAGGTTCAGGACCTCGGCCTCGGCCTCGAGTTCAATCCACCTCGTGCGTTGTGGGATTGCAGCTCACCTGTTACATGTACACTCTCTTTTGCGTCCTCAATCTTCTGTCCACCGTACTGTGCGACCAGCCCGGCAACTTTGGCTGCGGCCGTGGCGCGGTTCTTGATCGTGGCACCGTCTGCCCCACGGAACACGGCGAACTCGACAATGTATGCGTTTGACATCTTGGATTGAGGTTTCTGCTTTCGAGTTTAATGATGTGATTGTATTTGTGAAGTTTTTTTTCTAGGAGGGGGAAGGGGGGTTTTTATGCTGTCGGGTCTTTGTTCTGATGCAGAGCTCCCATTTTATCGTTTGATATCACACTGTGTCTGTCGCCTTCTGTTAGCATCACACCACTCCACTGTCGTCATCGCCTGCGTCACACAACGGCTGTCCCACTGTCGCGATTCGTTCCAAATGTTGTAGTTCGAATCCATTCCCCGTAAAATTACGCTTTCTACGTCATAACGGCTTTCTATTCAATTTGTGGTTTTTTTTTTTGACCGACATTTATATGCCTCATCTGTTAGGTTGGGTCAAATGGAAATCATCATATTTGATCATCACATTCAATCGATATCATGAAAATCCAGAAAATAGTAGACAAAAAACGTAGACTGTTGAAAAGCTGCAGGAAACCACAGCAATGTATGTGGGCGACTCGGAGACAAGCAAACGGAATTGAAAATTTCGTGGCCAGATAAAACAAAGGTGATATCTATTGAAAACGAAGGTAGCTCTGGCAGGTAAGAAGGATATGTTCAAATCGGGGCAAGTATCGTGCATTTATCTATGTACTTCATATAAAAAAGGACTCATAATCGTACAAAATATAAAATCAAGAACCGTACACAAATAACTAAAACCTGCACCGGAAAAAAAACCCTGGCTAAGTAAAAAGGTTTCGATAAGCTCACAATTTGTGCATAAATCCTTGAGCCTCAAAGGGAAAGAGTATCAAAAGCGTAATGAGCCCGTAGCCACAGTGACAGCTATGAGCTTACGGATGAGCGAACTCCTCATAATTTTCGAGCCTGCTTGAATCAAGGTATTCAACCTGTAAGTTTTCGCAAAAAAAGTACGCCGCGGATCTGTCACCCTCGGTATAACCAGTGTTTGGCTCACATGACCGCCATGCCACGCCATTTTATCCCCAAACCTGCTTCTCTCTAGTTCGCGTCCTGGCCTAGCCGGTATGGAACCAACTGGCTTCACAGGGATGCTGTCGTCTTGTGCCGAGGAAAAGCCCCAGCACAATGCAAAGGACCGCGTCTCTTCGGCCGTGGTAAAAGCAAGGCTGACTGATCCGACTTCTTGTATCTGTTGTCGACGGCATATTGCGGGCCGTCGTTGCAAAGTTTGCTAAAGCAGACCCTCCTCATCGTTCTCTGTCGACGGAAACAAGTGAGCTGCTATTGGGGGGCTAGCGGTGGTTGAAGGTTTCGTTTCAAGAAACTCTCGCTTGAGAACGAGGGTGAGGTGGGCGAGGTGGATGGATGATGCTTAGATCCCCTTGAGGAAGTCGGGAAAGGTGCTCGTAACGGCGAGAGGAAGTAGAGAACGCTGGTTCGTCCGTCAGCCTACAGTGACTGCAAAGACACCGGATTATTGGAGAGCTGTCACGTACGAAACACCTTCGGTTGTCCGTTGTGTCGTTTGGCGACGAGATTTTCTTCTTTTCTAGCTCAAGGCAGCCCGTGACGGTTACCAGGTGAAATACCCAGTTCCCATCACGGGCGGAGAGAAAAGAAGGGAAAAGGGGTGGACCTCAGCAACGAGGACGGCGGGAGGCGGTTGTTTTATACTGGTATTTTTTGCTCTCCATCTATGCTTTGAGTCACAAAAATAAGCGTGGCATTTTCTGTCAGGTGTGGCCTTCGTAGTCTTTTGTTGATGACTGACGGCCTTGTAAGAGATACGTACTTCTCCAGTGTAAGCAACAGATATTAATCGGCAGCCGATACCAACAGTCCACCTGTCTGTCGAATCTACGACAATAAGGTTCACCGATAGATTCGTTACTTCTTATTGGGCGAAACCTTTTACTTGTTTTGGTTGTTCCACGACGGGAGGTGCGACCGGAAGCTCGACTCATATGGCGCAGTGTTACAGCAAAGGGAAGGAAGCGTCGCGCCCAAGTGTCGATTGTCATCCTTTATTAGCCTCGCAGTTTCCCTTTTCGGTGCTATGGCTTTTGCGTCATATGGAGCAGGTGTGGCCGTGTCGCGGCGGGCGCTCTTTCCCACTCGTCTCTCCGGCATTGTGGCTCCTGCCGTGTTAGTGATAAAATGCAGTTTAGCCCAAATTTCCTTTTTGAGATTATTGCAACTTCCGTATATGGATGTTGTAAATAGGGACTAAATGTGGAAAGGAAGCAAAATTGTCAAAGGGGTTTTGTTGGCTACAGAGTATCCCAGAGAGCGCTTTCTCTCCCGCTTTCGCCCTCTCACCTTCAGCCAAAGGCTACTTTTGTCTACCATCTTGCCTCGATTTGAACGTTCCTCAAACGTTGTTGACGTCACCAACCGTCCCTTATCATACTCCACGATGGGGCTATTGCAGATCAAAATCCCGCCCTCATTGACGCCGCCACTTACTGGCAGTCCCCCACAGGGGACAGTTGACAGACTAGCTACCTTTTTTCTCGGAAAATTCCAAGAAACCAAGAAGGAGAGCGATCTGGCGACATTACAATGCACCGCACAGTTGAAGTTCGAAGCGTTAGAGAAGACACTGGAGGAGCAGACCCTCACTGTCACAGAACTCCGCCACGACATGAAGTCCGAGATCCAGTCCGAGATAGAGTCCTTCCGAGACAAGGCCGCTAGCTACTTTCTCGACAAATTCTCTGGGCAGTTGGATGCCTTGGGTGCCAGACGGGGTGAAAAAAGCGAGCTTGCGATCAGCCGCCTTGAGCACCGAGTCGATGATGAAGTCAAAAATCTGAGCGACCAGCTGTCAGATCTGTCGACAAAGGTGGCCATCAGCAATGCCGCTGTCAACGCCACCATCGACGATATCAGAAAGAAAGTCAGTTCTGGGAATGATGTCTCGGCCGAAAATCTGCGGCGTTGTGAAAGCGAGTTTCGGTCCAGATTGTCGAGACTTGAAAATCTTATCGAGTCGAGTAAAACTGAGGCTACGATCGAACGTGACAAAGTCACCAGGGTGTTCCAAGATGCCAATAAGAGGCTTCAGAGCAAGGTCGATGGTCTGGAACTGTCTATCATGAGACAATCTGAGGAACTGACCAAGCAGTCTGAGAAAATCCACCGCCTCGAGAGCGAATTACGAACTCTATCTCAACTTGGCATGGGACAGGAGAATGCTCATACCACGGTGATGAAGATGCTGTCTATCCAAAGAGAAGAGTTGTCTAGATTAGCCCAAAGCGTTCGTGAACAAACGAACACATCTTCTGTCAAGGAAAGAGCGAGTAAGTACGAAGAGGACAGGACGGAAAGTTAAGCGCGAAAAAAGTAGGCTCATCACTAATACTCAACACAAAGGAAATATTGTGCTGGATGTGACTCCAGATCAATCCAAGATCTCATACATCTCTTCCACGCCATTGCCAAATGTCAAGCGCGCCTCTTCCACCCGGGTGGTTGGCAAGTCGACAACTACGACAGGCGGCGACGATGGCGAAGCAGAGCGAGCTCCAAAGCAACACAAGCGCCCTAGACCTTGTCACACGACGGATATGTCGAATATGAGCTCCGTAGAAAGCGACACCGATACCTCGGGGCCTTCACCAAAGCGAGCTCAACGTGATTCAGTTAGCGCGAAACTCGCGACGAGAAAGGTCGAGGTAGTCGAGCCAATGAATCATACAGCCCAACCGAATGCAGTCCGGAATGAACAGCCATCAATGAGAGTAATGCCTCAAAAACGGCCCAGTATCGGAACCAGTTCAAAGACGACGGTGCCGCCACTGGTCATAAATGCGGGCATTCGGGAACGAAGCCCCAAAATCGTGCCTTCGATGTCAAGGATGACACGGGGACCTATTCCACGAAAGAAGCCAGACGAAAATAAAAGGGCACAACCAAGTAAACCCTCCGAAATCCCAGACTCACATCGAGGAATTCATCAACTGCCAGAGAGTGCGTCACAGAATACGCCGCCACGCTTGGCGCAACAAAATCAGCACGAACCATCATCCGAAAAGCCCACCCAGCCCTCTCGTGATCAGAGAGCCATACCAACCAAGTCACTTGTGAAAAGCCAGAGCCATACTGCTACATCTTCTCCAGGATGCAAGTCCGATAACAGTGTCAAAAGTCCACAGAACTTTGCCAGGAGACGAGAAGCAACGATGGCATTCATGTTGCATGTCCAAACATATGCCAGAAACTTCAGCACATCGCCGCCTCGGTCAGAGCGCCAGTTCATCTGGAGCTTCCTAGAAGGAATCTCCGACCCGGCATGGGCAGAGTTTATACAGAAGAGACTGCTCGCAGCATATCCGACATCAGTAAGGCCGAGTCGGGGGATACGCGCCAAACACTCCATCAACTTTGACTCAGGCTTGACGTGGCAACATGTCTTGGAATTGATTCGTAGGCTACATCAGAAACCGGGAAAGTCGTCTTAAACCGTTTAGATATGTACGTATTGTTAGATAGGGTACAATACGTCATGCCGCTGATAACTTGGGGGAGTGGTTACCCAGCACCGTTCGGCGCTGTCTCTTTCCCGGGTAAAATTCTTTTTTCGCACATTACACATTCGCACAGCTATATAATGTAAGGGAAGCACAGTGACCTTCTTAGGCATCAATTATCTTTAAACGGAGCGTGTGGTCAGAAAGGGGGACGGGGTGCGGAAAGTGGTATATTTGGAGATACAACACCAAGCCAATCATTATCACCATTACTTTTTTGTCAATCTCTTTTCGTTCTGTCCATTTCTTCCACTTCAGTTATGCATGCCACAGGATTGATTTTTTTTTTTTGGCAATAACCCTTTCCGCGCAGGCGTTTTGTTGAATAAAAAAAAGTAAACAGAATAAATAAGATTCACCGAAACTCTTCCAATTCAACAATATCCCAACGTAGCTGAAAACAAAATAAGCAAAGGAATGTGTAATACGTGGCTCCTCAGGTGGCACTAGCTCATGGCAAATACGCTAACACGACCCGATGTACACAAGTGACGATGTTTCCAGAGCAGAAAAGAAGGCGGGTAACAGGGCTATCCTGAACTTAAATGAACAGCCTACATTTTATGATTTTTGACAAGTTTCTAGATCTGAACCTTGGCGGCCTCTTCCGCCAACTGGATTACATCATCCTGGTCTGGCTGGGTGTACTTGTTGATCCAGCCGAGGACCTCGTTGTGCCATACAAGTGAGTTCTCAGGTTTCAACACCCACTGTCAAAAGTTAGTAGTCTGGGTCGAAACCAGCACGGGGACACGTGTGAAAACGAAACAAGATTTCTTGACGTACGTGGTTTTCATCAGGGAAGCTAAGGAGGCGACTGGGAATGTCGCGGCTCTGCAACACGTTGAACATGGACAAGCCCTCAGTGACGGGCAGTCGATAATCGAGTTCGTTGTGGATGACCTAGTAACCTGTTAGGTGGTGTACGTGACGAAGGGAGGGGAAATGACTCGGGTCACGAGCATGTCGCAGTACGTACCAACATTGGCGTGGCCCATTCACCGGTATTCTTTGCGGGATCCCATTTCTCGTAGCCGCCACGGTTTTCCCAGAGTGTGCCGCCAAAATCGTGCAGCGGGAAGTACAGCTCCTCAGACGAATACTGGTTGAACGTGCTGAAGACACCGTCGTGGCAGACAAGGGCCTTAAAGCGGCGGCCCAGAGGCTTGCCTTGGATCCAGTCTAGAGGCATGTAGCATCAGCAACAAATGATACAGCGACCTTCATGTAATAGAAATACTAGTCACGCAGGTTGGGGGAATCTTACTGATCATGTAGCCACCGTAGGACGCGCCCGCCGCAACAGCCCGGGACATATCGACGTACGGAAGATTCTGCTCCACATAGTCGACACACTTGACAATATCCTCGTACGGACGGCCACCCCAGTTGTTCTGGATGCCGTCCTGCAGGGACATACCGTAACTGGTGCTGCCCGTTGGGTTGGGCGTCACGACAATGTAGCCCTGCTCCGCAAACACGGCCGGGTTCCAACGGGTGCTCCAGCTATCGGCCCACGCGCCCTGGGGCCCACCGTGAATGAGAAGTGCGAGCGGCCACTTCTTGCCCTTGTTCTCCTCAGCGTAGAAATTGGATGGCCGAACTACGAGAGCGTGAACCTTGTAGTCACCAGCACCCTGGAACCAGATTTCGCCGAGTTGGTTGCGAGACAGGCCAAAGGTCGACCCGTGGCGAGACTGCGACGAGACAACGTCCATGGTGTAGCGCTCGGCTTTTGACGGGAAAGGGAAGTTTGGCAGCAGGCCAGGATCGACAATGGTGTAAAGAGAGTTATCAACCTGCGAGCTCATTGTCACGAAGAGTTTCGACCGACTCGTCCCCAGTCGGTGCACATCGACCACGCTGCCGTGGCCGCGGAGTGGCTGGAATGCTTCGGCATGAGGGTCTCCTAGACGAATGCGTGTCTGGAGATCGGTATCATCAGCCGACACGAACTCATGACCACCTATGAAGATGTGTGGGAGGCCAAAAGTGGCTGCGGCCGAAGGAGAAGAAGGCAAGCGGAAAAGCGCGTTGCGAGCTTTGTGTTCGGCCGTGACAAAGAGCTCGGAGCCGTCGCCGTTCCAGAGAATACTTTCGGGGCGAGCATCCCAGCCACCTTTACCGTCATCAGTGGCGTAGAATTCAGTCACGTCACTGTCATTGCCGGAGGTTCCGTATTCTGACGCGAAAGTATCCACGTCGGTGAGGAGGAGAAGCCGACTCTTGTCGCTCTCATATTGCTTGCTCTGCATGCGGGTGAAGGCGATTTTACTGCCATCCGGTGAGAAAGTAGGCCTACCACTGTAGCCCTGAAGGTTTCCGGTCTTGACAAGAAGCGGCTTTGGTGGCGGCGTTGCAACCGCGGCGTACGTGTTCAGAGGCACATAGTAGAGGTTGGTGATAGTGGTGAGTGCATCGTTGTGGTCTGGGTCGCGCGAAACGAACGCAATACCTTTAGGGCCGAGGGCAAAGTCTCCCGTGCTGCCAAACGTCGGGACGGGCGACTCCAGGCCGGTATCGCGGAGGAGGTTGGTCAGTTGGCCGCCAGACAGCGCGTACGAGTCGGAGCCGGGAGCGGCACTTCCATAGTTTTCAATGAGGCCGTACCAGATAGCTGACTTCTCTGCAGTCACGTACGCGTCCCAATGACGCACAAAGAGCTTGGTGTAAACTCGCGCAGAGCTATGTGACTGCTTTTCCTTGCTTTCGGCGAGCTCTGGTGTATATGGGTCGCCAGAAGGCGTGGCCAGGCCGGTCAGGGCAATGGCGATGGTGCTATCCTTGAGCTTCAGGATCTGGAGATTGGAAAGAGAGTGACCAAAGTTGTGAATCTCTATAGGTTGGACAGCGGGCCGGGACGCACGGCCAAGTAGAAGCGAGGTTACACCCCTGTCGCCGCTCTTCAGGAAGAAGAAAGCATCCTCGTCAATCCAAACGGGTTCGCTGTAGTTAGCGTCCTCGTACAGAAGAGTGGAACCACCTGACTCGATATCCAGAACACGAATCTGGGATGTCTTGCGGTGATCCTCGAAGGAGTACGTCGAGACCTAGCCTCTGTTAGGAAGTGCAACGGCCTCGGATTTACACTTTTGGCTCCGGAGACGCCAAGTGCGGAATCTTCTGACATACAGTGTACAGGACTTTGGTACCATTCGCATTGGGCGCGCCGGCAGAGCGCCGCGGAGCAGAGAGGAGTACCTCTGGTGTGAATTTGTTCGCTTTACGCGTCATCTCGTCAGTTGATGTACGTGGCAAAGCTGCCTTTAGTGTGTTGGGTGCAGCAGGGCGTTGTGCGTGATGCGTCAGAGATCTGCGGGGCGGCGAAATCGGTTTTACGCAACAGACACTACAGGAGCGAACTGAGATGATGGTGCAGGACAATGAACTGTGGCGGTTCGCAATGAAGTTTCTTGCGGCGTTGATGCAAATTCGCGGATTGATCATTGGTGTGCCGAAGAGGCTTCTTCCCTTGAAATTAGGACATGGCTTTACTGGCGGGATGTGGCCATCAAAGGGAGAGCACGACATCTGCAGCACTGCGGCAGAGGCAGGTGCGGTATTGAGCCGGCAACGGACTCCGCTTAAGACCATTTAGGTTGAGTTGGTGTATCTGGTACTTGGGCCGACTCGAAGCGGTGCGTCACGTGTGCTTTTCTTAGGACGAATCTGGGCTCGCAAATGCTCAATGCAGCAAACTACGGATCTTGTAGATGTGACCAAAACTGACAATTTTTTGTCCCTGCATACCGCCGTCACGGTCGTTTTTGCTGTATATATTTTGTGGTGGCACCCCTGATTCACTGTCAAAGACCTAAAACGCCCGTGTTCCTCTCGAGGCAATATAAATGCGATAAAAAGCAAACCTTTCCTGTAGGCAGTGTCTACCCAATCAATCCTCATAATGCTGCAATGGTATACCGTAAACACCTGTAATCCCAAAATCCCGAGAAGTCGAAATAAACTGCAAAACACACGTACAGGCACGCTTGCTCGTTTGCTATGTCCCCGTCCTCCAATTCAGCAACGTTTATGCCACCCTCGCGCTTGCTCACTTGCGAACCGTGCCAAAGCTCGTCCGCACTTTCTTCGTCTCGCGTGTAGAGTCGGTCTCGCTGTCATCAACGCCACTCGCGGCGGCTGCTGCAGACACTGCGGTCTTCTTCTTCTTTGAGTGGGCAGCCTTGCTGGCCGTGGTGGAGGTGGGCGTCGCCTGGCCGGAGCCCGGGCCGCTGCCAGCATTGCTGCCGTCCTTGAAGGAGGTCTGTAAAGGTGTTGGCGCAATTGACGCGTTTGCGGCCTAGAACATATGTTAGAGGATGGGTCGCTGGAGGGGCATCTGCCAAGGGCGGCGTCGCTGGAGGGGAGGAACACACGTTGTAGGATATACTACTGCGCGAGAACACACGGTTGGCTTCGGTCAAGCCCGTCTTGCGCCGCTGTGCCGCTGCGCCCGTGATGCCCTTGACGTAGTTGTCAAAGCCAGTGATAATGTTGCCGCTGATTGTGTTCTCGAGGTACTCGGACTCCTTTTGCGAAATGGCCTCCTCGCGGGTGTGCTTGGTGTGTTAGTGGGAATACCTCTCTCGCCCCTCTCTTCTTCAGAAACACCTGTCTGTGCATCCAGGGCCAGATGCAACCTACCAGCTGCCTTTCCAACACCTTGCGCTTCTGCAGCAATTCCTTCAAATGTTGTCGTGACTTCTCGTAGTATGGCATGCTTGGTGTGTCCGTATTAGCGCCACCGGTGACCTGCACCTTGTCCGCCATGGTGGACCAGTGTATGCAGAATCTGTTTTGTGTGTGAGCGGTGTGTGTTGCTTGGCGCGCGACGATAAGGCAGTTTTGTTTTCGTGATGTGGTGACGAAGCCAGTCGCAGAAAGGAAATTTGCAGTTGATAAATGTTCCGGTGCGTTAGTTTTACCCCGGACTAAGCTTCAAGGCGCTTTTCTAGCGACAAATTATTAGTCATCGGTTCATAGCCTTGGTTGGTGCTATTAGCGCATTGGCTGCGATATGCAGCTAAGTTCTCGTGTGGCAGTTGACATCTGCGGAGATTCTACGACACCGTCCTTGATACAACGTGACATGCGGAGTACGTTGTGCGTTCCAAACCCTGAACCCGGGGGGAAATGGCAGGCATTGCTGTATACGTTGTACATTTGATATCTACCACTTAGACTATGGTGCGCATGTATATTACGATAAAAGCTCCAAAATCTTCGAAAAGTCGGTGTTCTCGAAGAGGTCCAGACCTGCAAAACGAAGGTGGAGTGCTTGGGCCCGTTCTTGATATGTAACAAACCACCCTCTGTGACACGATGCCTTCGAAGTTCCATACGCTCCGACGCTCAAAGCATCGATCTTAACGACAAAGCCCAGCTTCAAAATAACATAGTGACGATGTAAGAGGGAGCCAGCAGGAAATTCGTACGAGGGCCCAGAATGTGGAGAGGCATGCAGAAACGTGCTGGATTCAGATAGTCCAGACTCTCGGAAAGAAACGGCTCTTTGGAAAGAAGATAAGGCGTTAGTCTTTTTCACGATCTAGACTTCGAGGATCTCATTTGTTTGATTCGCTCCCTGAGTTCTTTCTCGCGCTTCTCGTTGGCGAGCCGCTCGGCCGTTTTGGTCTATCGCGGAGATGGCTTTAGTTTCCAGTTCCAGAAGAGTTAATAATGATAAAGAAGGAGGCATAGAAAAAATAGGACGAAACAAACCTGTGAATCTTTGGCCGGCGGGTTCACGCTCGAAGTGCTTGTTACATTTGTTTTGGATGTGGTGGCATCCACAGCTGCGGCAGGAGGCAAGGCTGCTTTGGTTGCGGGTCTGTCTTCTTTGTTGGGAACATCAGCAGACTTGTTTTGCGATCTCGAGGGTGTACGGGAGCGCGAACGTGAGCGCGAGGACCCAGAGGAAGAATCACGCCGCCTTCGCTGGCCCAATGGCCCACCACGTTTCACACCACCTCTATTGCGGCCATTGCCGTGTCCCACTGTGCGGCCTGTATTGTCCTCGTCAGAGAGAGGGGTCTTGCTTCTGATTCTGCTGCGACTCCGGCTGGAGCTGTAGCTGCGGTCGCGGTCACCTCGCCGACGACGGGTCGGGGGGGTTCTGCTGTTGTCAATGCGCGAGTACCTGGATGAGCCGCTCGAAGATACAGACCGTGCCGACCGGCGGCCTCGTTCACGCGATCGGCTACGAGATAGCGAGTACCGACGGCGTTTTGCGATAGGTGAGCGACTGGCCAACGGTGATCGTCCGCGAGACAACCCGCCATTTTTACGACCATCACGTTGCGTCCGAGGTGGCGACCGCAACCGCTTGTCTCCACTGGCACTGGCTTCGGTATCCTGGGCGCGGTGACGAGGAGGCGACCGAGAGCGGGATCGAGATTCGGACCGAGAGCGAGAGCGAGAGTATGAAGAGCCAAAACGTTCTGAGGTTGAGCGAGAGGTTGAGCGAGAGCGAGAGTAAGAGGATGACCGGGATGTTGACTGCCGGCGGTGGTAGTCGCCCCGGCGGTCGTTGCCCCGCACACGGCGGTCGTTGGGAACATAGAGATCGTGTTGAGCGGATCGAAATCCATCACCACGATCGCTCCGGAAGTTGCCACGTCCGCGCCCTAGCGGTGTTTGATCGCGGTCTCCGCCACGACCGCCCTGGCCACCGCCGCCCACTGAGCCATCGTTTCCGCGGAACGACCTCCGGCCACGACGGCTGTCGTTGCCTCGGCGTCCTCCGCCAGCACCACCCCTCCACGAGTCTCCTCGGTCCCCACCCCGGGGTGGCCGGTCGCGGTCAAAACGGCCGACTTCGCTGCGCTTCCGGCGTGCTTCATCGGCGGCTTTCTCAGCCTCAATCTGAATGAAGAAAGAAACTCGATTAGTCGCGTCGGGTACTCGTAAATACCAATAAGCGGCAGCGTAAATAGGGCAGGGCTTGGTGTACCTTTTCCTGGATCAGCTCCATCTTCTTTGCCTCCAAGAGTTCTCTTGGAATGCCCTGTGGGCTGGACTGGGCACTGAGAAGCAGAGTCCATAGTTCTTTGCAAAACTCGGGGGTCTGGGATTCGAGGAAGCCGGTAAGCTGGATCTGAAGGGACTTGATGTCGGGCTGCAAGCAGGGAGATTGGGTTAGTACGATTCTAGCCACTTTGTAGGACCATGGGTGAGGGAAGTTACGCACGTGTCGAGCGCTCTCTATCAGGTTGCAGCAGAGTTCAACGACGACATCGTCATCGTTGCCCAGGATGTCGGCTATCCGTCCAGCAATCCACCTAAGCACGGAACAATGCAGTTAGCATGCGGTAGAGATGCATAGTGTATTAAATAGATAAAGTGCAGGAGAGCCGTGCTTTTTCATCACCTGTAGGTTGACCTTCTGTGTGTCCACCTTCTGGTTGAAGATGGGTGGAAACTTTGTGCTCTTGAGGAGCTTTGCGTCCACGCCGGTTGCCATGGCGAACAATGAAGAGATGAGCGTAATGCACAGGGCAAGAATGATACCCGTTATGAAGACGCGAAGATTCGTTTGTGGCGGTGCGCGAGGAATAAGTGGTGACGAACGGTCAAGGCGTAAATGATGAAAGAGAAAATAAAGTCAATTTTTGGCGTTGCCTTTCCTCCAGCCCGAGAAGGGGCTAGTCAGTGCCGAAGATCTTGGCACCAAGGAAGAGCTTTAGCTGATGTGGGGCCGCTGGAGGCACGGATGGTCGCGAATGTCACGTGCTAGATTGTTGAAGTGTCGGCCTTCTAGATATTGTTTGACACAACCATTTTATTGTCACGAGCGACATGTATTAAGGGAATGACGGATTCATATAATTTCTCACAATTATGTGGCATCGTGAACATTGTATTGACAGTGTCGCAAGAAAAGACAAAAATCTTTAAACAAGTAGAAGTAGAGATACGAAAGGAAGTGCACCTGAATAACGCCTTTAATACTCATCGTGGATATGCCGTTGTTGAATCGAGTGTCGTGAAATAGGAAAAAGAAAGTCGCAAGCACAAAATCCATCCAGAAAACACCCATCAGCCCGTCCGTCGCTACTCGCTGTGGTCTGCACAAAAAAAAAAGACAATTCCGTAGTACGCCGCATATTCCATACAAAAAGTCACTTTTGATAGAACTAAAAGCAACGCAAAAGAACAAACGAAGAGAAAGAATTCGAGGATGCAATGGGGACAACAAAACGGTACAAGGTTCACTGTTGCATATCGTTTGGGGAGATGTTTTACGACCGCGGGAACGTGTACTGGGAGTGGCGGCGGGCAATCGGCGGCGGGTTTGGCGGTGAGGTAGACGAAGCTCCTGCCAGGTTGTCGCCAGACGAATGCGGTGACTGTTGGTGCAGCTGGCGTCCAGACAGGGCAGCCACTTTCTCGCGGGCTTGCCGCAGACTGTTGTTATCGTTGTACTGCTTGAGCTTCGCACGGAGATCGTATAAGGCGATCAGTGAAGAAGCGCGGTCGACATCAGAGTCGGTCTAGACAGGAAACAGGTTGTCAACAGGTATGTTTAGGAGTCACATATACATATGTAAATATATGGAAGGTAACGAACATCATTGCCGTGTGGCGTGCCTGGCATGGAACCATGGGACGAACTGGAGCGGGTGATGGGCGGCGTGAGCAGCCGACGACCCAGGTACGAATCAAAAGGTGTTGAGGTCCCACCGTTACGTGGGACGGAGCTGCCGGGCGATAGTGCCGACGATGAAGAGACCCGACGATGCTGGGGTGGGTTGGCTGGGATCTGGGCGGAAGAGGAGGATGTGGTGGTGACTTCGGTTTGTTGTACGGTCGTGGACGAGGTTGTGGAGGTAGCTGTAGTGACCGTCGCGTTGGCGGTGACGAGGGCGTGGGCAGCACGGGGTTCCTGAGATTCAATTAGATATGATGCAAACGCCAACAAGCATCATTACAAACACGGCTCGTCAACGTACGGCAGCATCTAGATCGCTGAGATCTGCCAGCATCTGGGCCAGCTGCAAAGTCTCCATCTCGAAGAATCGAAAAGAAAGAGGCTGACGCAAAGCTGCGTCGGTGAGGTTTGGCGGCTGACTTGTAGGGCCTATCGACTAGTTGAGCAAGTCACTACCCGTTTGGCGATGTTTGGGAGCTTGAAGTATTTGCATAGATGGCTACAGCCCAGTTCGCGATGTGCGTCGTCGTGGACAGACGGCGTGGTGCAATGGTGGAGGTCTGGTTGATGAGGAAGGGACGAGGAAACAATGAAATGGCGGAACGGAGGAATCGTAAATAGTAGCCAGCCGGGGACGAACGGAATCGCTGACACAGAAAAGGTGCTGTTAGTTGCTCACGCGCACGTAGTTTTGCCTTCGCTCCCTTTGTTGGACTGATCGGCTTGGTTGGTGTGTTGGAGAGACATGGCCATTTTGTTGTGCGGGGAAGAGCCTCGCTAGTAGAGAGGACCAGATGTGAGCCGCGCACGGCGCAAAACACAACTATGAACACCAACACGCCGGTTGACTAGTCTGGCGCGCTCTGCGCACTGTAAAAACCGTGGCTGTGGGGCCCGACGAGCCGCTGGTGCTGCAGACGAACACTCACTCAACTCACCATGAGACTAGGCTCTTGTGGTAGGCGAGCAGGCGGTTCCAGTGAGTTGTACTTTGAGGGATCTCGTGGAGGTCCATGTCTAGTGACTGCAAGTCGTAATTGCCGTTAGGGGGGCGCATCTCAGTGTTTCTCGACCCCGCAGTGCTGCCTTTCTCCTTGACTTTCTCCGGCGCCCACAACTGTGCCTCTGGATATGTGCACTGTCGAAAATGCCAACTTGCCGAACCGCCTCCTGTGCTAACTGCACTTTTGCCGGACGCCGACGTGGAGAAACGAACACGACTCAGAAAGGTTGCCGGAAGTTGCACAAACCGCCGAGCTGTACAACCTTATCTCGCCAGTGTGAAGGCATCCTCGCTTAGTTCTTGGAAGCCTGTTTCGACCACAGCGTTCCACATCCCGCGCTACAACATTTGCGATGCCACAGCGGCCTGCCCCTCTTTAGCTCCTCCCCCTGTAAAAGTAAATTCACCTGTAAGTAATTATGTCGTAATTAGGTACCCGTAGCCGTCACTGGCCGCTCTCATTGTGCTTCCTCCAGCCGGTTGATGGCGGGACTAGACTCCAGTCTTGCACCCACCACATAGCCACCAAACAATCGTAAATGCAACCCACCAGCCGTCCCTGCCCCCATTCGAAAGCGTTTCGCGCTCTATTTGCCAGCAGAGTGGTTGGATGCTTCCTGGAATCGGCTCCATTAGATTATCCCCCACTACTGTCATTGGCCACCCGTAGAACGCTTGGTTGCTCTTTCCCAAACTCGGACGACTTTGTGCCGTCGCTTCCTTTCCATGCAACACCAACAACACGGACTGCCGAAGATAGAAACGAAAGGGGACGACCCAGGGAAATTAATAAAAAGGAAGGATACAAGACGGCATCACCGCGCAGAGCGCCGGAGAAAGAAGACTTTTTTGCCCATTATGTTTACCTTTCGGCGCGGCCTGTCCACCATGGCCTCTTCCTTGACCCAGCTCAAGAAGTCCAACAAGATTGTGTGCATTGGCCGGAACTATGCGTGAGTTCCTATGGCTGTGGAATCGAGCGCTCCCGTGACCCGAGCGTCGAGTCGTACTGTACGTGAGAGAGTGCTTGCTAACCGACGTCGTAGCGACCATGTGACGGAACTCAACAATGTCCGGCCAAAGCAGCCGTTCTTCTTCTTGAAGCCCCCATCGTCCCTTGTGCTGCCCAGTGCCGGCCCTTGCGTGCGCCCCAAGGGCGTCGACCTGCACTATGAGATCGAGCTAGCTCTGATCATCGGTAAGACGATACGCGACTTGAAGCCGGATGATGAGCGGGGTGCTCTGGATGCCATTGACAGTGAGTTATTCTGTTGCCTTCCACCTCTTCATGCTTCAGTGATCTCTGACAATTTAATAGGCTACGCCCTAGCCCTCGACATGACGGCTCGCAACGTGCAGAACGAGGCCAAGAAGAAGGGCCTCCCGTGGGACATTGCCAAGGGCTTTGACACGTTCCTGCCAATCAGCCAGATCATCCCCAAATCGGCCATTCCTGACCCGCACAACGTCGAGGTCTATCTGACCGTTAACGGCGAGGTCCGCCAGCAGGACTCGACGGAGCTGCTGCTGTTCCGTATCCCACGCATTCTGAGCGACATCTCCAAAGTTATGCCGCTGGAGCCGGGTGACCTTGTGCTGACCGGCACGCCGAAGGGTGTAGGCCTCGTCGTTGCTGGCGACGTCATGAAAGGCGGCATCCGCGTTAATGGCAAGGAGATTGAAGAGGCCCACCTGGAGGTGCCGGTTGTCGACTCGGAGGGGGACTACGCATTTGCCGAGACATAGGAGAGTGATAGGAATATGATGGAGATGGGATGTAAATATTTGTACAGAAAGAACAGATAAACACATGAACATATAAACACATGGGCATACAAACACGTCAACATCCGCCACCCGACAACGTAACACCTTACAGGCAACTCACACCACAGGCCACACAATTCATAATTCCTTATTACTTAGCATACCATTTGATTGTCGCTTTCACTCCCCTACGCCTTGTTCGGATCCACGATCGAGCCCGGTGGTGGCGCCCAGTCGGCAAGGGTGCCACACTTGCTGCATGTGCGGTCAGACTCGCTTTCACGGAACGCCTCGACAGCGGCCTTGATCTGCGTACCGAGGTCCGTGCAGTGGAAAGCTGTCTCGTGCACAATGGCACGGCAGTCGGGTTGTGCGCAATACCAGCGCATACGGTCGATGGACGACGGCGGCCGACGCTGCTCAAGAACGACGCCCACTGTGTCGGCGAAGCGCACGGGGTTGTGAGGTGTGTTGGCGGGCAGCAGGAACATAGAGCCCTCGCCGATGATGATGTCGCGGAAATCACCGTCGTCGACGACCTTGAGTATCATAGCGCCCTTGTGCTGGTAGAACCACTCGGGCGTCTCGTTGATATGGTAATCTGTACGGGCGTTGGGGCCACCGACGATCTGCAGTCAGAGTCAGGATCTGCGTAGCCGCGGCGACAAAACAAATCTCATAAAAACGCTCAAAAAAAGGTATAAAAAAAAACCTAAACTCATACCATCACTGTAAAATCTTCATTGTAGACACAGTAGTTATTGATTGGCGGCTTCAGTAGATGCGAGTTCGCTTCCAGCCTAGCTTGTGTCAGTCGAGAGGTTCTGATCGTCCATTCTGTGTGATCTCAAACATATTCTCATGTCATCTCATGATTTCAGAATTCTTAAACTCACCACTTGGGCAAATTCACCGGTGTTCCGAGCATAGCAGCGCGTGTGCAGAGAGTATTTCGTAGAAGTTAAATGTTCCACTGTGAATCTTCGTCTGGACAAGGAATAAGAATGTTGTCGTATGTTAAGTCGTGAAAAAGTTGAGGATTTCCTGTTTATAAATGGGTGACTCAAGCGAGTTTCTTGAACAATCTCCTTCGCCTCTCTCCCGCAGACTCCGGTGTCGGTTTCTAATCATTTCTGAGCACAGCTCACTCTCCGACGCCCTATTGTTAAGGCCTAGCGCAGTCGTCTTTGGGACCCTCAGGGCCCTTGTTAATGTGGACAGAACGAGATTTTCCTAAAAATGACTTAGTCAGAGTGACCCTGCAAGGATCGGCTGGCCCCGTTCAGAGGGTCGTAGCCACGAGGCCTGCCAGCGCTCTGCTTGTCTCGAGTGCACCAATCTACATGCATTTTACTCCGTAATCCCTCGATAATCCCTCTGAAACGCACAGCGCCACCAAACCTGACACATCTTCCCAGCCCCTTGAGGCCGAACAAACTGTGAGCTTCCATCCCCTTTTTACCCGTAACACGTCTGTATATAAGTTGATTTGGCCTGCTACCGACAATTTTTTGTTCCAGTTTTGACGGACTCTCATCGCAAAACATCATTGCCGCGAAGAGTTCAGAGTATCATACTCTGTCTCACAGGCTCTCAGCCCTGCCAGAAGCTCCTTCTCCCGGCCACCAATCAAAACTGCCTCAGCAACTCCACCTGCGCCGCGACTCACAACACAGTACGGAGTACAACATACTGGACAACAAACTTTCTACTTAAGACGCACACGTCCCACGTCTCGTGTCTTCACTACCTTGTCCTTAGGCATTTGCTGCGTTCGTCGGCTGTTAAGTGCGGCTGGGGAGTTTTCAAGCTTGCAAGGCTATCTCTCATCTAGCAGCCCCTTACCAGACATTCGGTGTCTGTTCTTCTAGCCCTCACAAATCGTCCGATCTCAGTCCCAACCTACCGCCATGGACCACACTCACCACCACATGGCCGAGGGCGCCGACATGACCATGGACCGTTGCACTATGAACGTATGCGTCTTTTCTATCTGAATTATGGGACGACTGGCTTGGAAAGAGTCGTTCGATTATTGGTTTTGTTCCTGATAATGCTGACCGCCCTCGAGATGCTCTTCACATGGGACACCAACAACCTTTGTATCGTCTTCCGCTGGTGGCACATCCGCACGACACCGGGCCTGATCTTGTCGCTACTCGCCGTCGTCGCCCTCGGTGCCGGATACGAGGCCTTGCGCGAGGGCATCCGCCGCTACGAGATGGTGCTCGCGAAACGCGCTGAAGCTGTGCCACGTAAGCCCCCCCTCTTACCCCTTCTGTGTTTCTTTTCATTTTTCTAGATTGCCCACCTGTCCTTCGTTTCTTCCTGTTTGTCTCCTGTCAAACTCCCATTTGCTGCGAGAGCAAACAGCTAAGCCGTTTCTGCCGAACAACCGAATAAAGAAGACCGTGAATCCCATGGAGACCGAGATGACAATGATACTGAGACCACGCCTTTCCTCCGTACAGGCCAAGCCCAAGTCGACGTCAACAAACGCGCACACGTCACCAAGGCCGTGCTTTACGGCATCCAGAACTTTTATGCTTTTATGATTATGTTCGTCACCCGAACCCTCCCCCACCCTCCTGGACCTCTCTCCCTTCTCGACAACTAACTTCAGTTTAGGCTTGTTTTCATGACGTACAACGGCTGGGTGATGCTCTCAGTGTCCATCGGCGCCTTTGTTGGCTACCTCCTCTTTGGCGGTGCGACACCGGTCGTCAAGGAGACGGCGTGCCACTGATATCTTGTCACGTCACATCGCAGCATGGGCAGCCGTCGGCCGACGAAGGTATGCTTACCGTACACTAATAGTAGGGCTGAGAGCCCGACTGAGCGGGCCACTCCGTTGTTTTTTGAACTTATTAGGAACGATATTTCAAAGAAATGCGTACAGGGTACACCGGAGTTTGGTAGTTGAATTTATGCAGCAATTTTATCTGAGATAGCACCGATGTTTGCCTTTATTCGCTTTATTTTTTCTCATTAAATATAGCATGGTCGTCTACGACATGCATTATGCTCTATACACCATTATGTCAGTCTCCATGGCTAGATTACATTTTGCTCGCCTCCTTCAGGTCCTCATGGGTCAGCTCGCTGCCTGCCTTCTTCTTCTCACCCAGCCGGCCCATCTTCTCCAGACCTTCGATGATGCGCTCGTCGCCAAAGTGCGAGTTGTGCTCAAAAGCAGGTGTCTCTCCGTACGCCAGCTTGGCTGCGTCGACGATGATACGTGCCGTCATGCCCCACACCTTATAACGGCCAGGGGAATCTCCAATTTCGTCGGCAACGGATTCATCCTGGTCCTTTTGCTCGTCTTCCTTGTCAGTGACCACGGCGGGGGGTGTCCCTACGCCATGGTCGGCGGCCACGACTGCTGCCGTTGTCTTCTTTTTGCTGTCGACGTCGTCTCCGACGTCACGTACCCGCTTCCGCGGCTTAGCTACACGCTGGCCCACCACGGGCACGTAGAAGAAGTGCATCCGCCACGGTTCCTCGTGCCAATGGATCCATGAGCCTTCGTACCAGGGACCTGGTGGCAGCTTTGGCCGGCGTAGTGGGACCCCGTTCTTGCCATTTTGAAGCTTGATCTGTGACAGCGCCAGTGGCATGCCGTCGTCCTTGGATACCTCGTCTGTTGGCAGCAAAAAGTTGTGGAAGGGAGCGCTGAACACGGCGGCGACCTCCTTGGCGTCCAGCTTTGGAATAAGTGCTTCATCGGGCGTGACCTCGTCATCCCCGCCACAGTTGGATGCGGCGCCATTTGTTCTCTCCGGTGCCCCAACATCGCCCTCGCTTGCGTGTAGTAGCGCAACGCATGGCCGCACCACAAGTTCTGTCTTGGCCAGATTGTACGGCAGGTCGCACAGATGCTCGATCCGGAACGGCCGCGGCAGCTTCGAGTCATCCAGTGGCAGGCCAATTTCCTCCCAGGCCTCGCGCCGTGCAATCTGCTCGGCTGATTCTTCGATTGAGTCGGCCTTGCCGCCCGGGAACGCTGCGTGACCCGAGTAGTTGCGCAGGCTGGCAGCACGCATGGTCAACACAACGCGCAGGTCGCCTCGCCGGTCGGCATACAACAGAACCAGCACTGCAGCGCGCCGGCTGACCGGTAAGCGGTCCCAGAGGGGAAAAGGTGGTGGCCGGAAGGCGCGCAGGCGGGCAATGGCGGCCGCAGAACGAGCGTTGAGCGGAGCCATCGTGGAGGGATCCCAGTAGTAGGAATCGTCTCCAACGCTAGCGCGAGGAGCGTTGTCGTCGTCGCTAAGGTCGGCTTCAGGCTTGGGGCCGCCAACAGGCTCGGAGTTGGCTTCGTGGACGGTTTCCGAGAGGTCGTCGATTTCAGCCGGCGTAAGCGTTGGCTCGGCGCCGTTGGTCTCGGGAGAGATTGTGTTGTCGTTGGTATCGTCAATTGTCGTCAGAGCAATAGTACAATCCGTGGCTTGGTCTTCAGCAACAGCTAGACGGCCAGCGCTGCCAGTGGGCATCATGGAGTTGGGAAGAACAGAAGAACAGAGCAGAAGGGTAGGAGACACATAAAAAGGGTAGGTGAGGAGACAAGTCACGACAAGCAGCCCTAGCCTGGGCAGATCAACAAGAGCCGGTTTACGGTGGGAATAAATCGTATTAGACAAGCAAATGGGATGGCTAGGATTTACCAGCGCCCGTACATTCGCCAATCGGCAAGTCTGTAGCTCAGTACAGTCCCGGCTTGCGCCGGACAGCAATGAGGGGCGGTTATGGGTGGATGCCGAAAATTGGAGACTAAGCTCTACAAGCGTCCGCATCGTAGAAGTTGCGGGGGATGTGAGTAGAAGTCTTGCGACAATGAACTGGAGGAAAAAATATATATGATTTGAGATAAACAAAAGCCTCAGCACCAAGCCCGAGAGCACTGTGAGTTTTTGGCGACGGTTCGCATAATAGCTAAGCGCGCCTGTTTAAGTCAGTTTGACCATGCAAGAGTGCATTCGACACGAGGCAAGGCCACACGCTTAGTGGTTAGATACTAAAATACATGACATTAACCTAACAAATAATACATCGTATTTGCCAATACCCAAACCAAACGCGGTCAAAACACAAAACGCCGTGTGTGTGTCCCTTCTGTGAACCTCTTTGAAGCGCCCAAGAAAACACCACAATGCATTCAATAAACACAGGCCACCCCGCCATCACGATGGCGGCCAGGGTGTGACATCCATCTTCTCGTCCTCATCTCTGCCGTAAAATCGTCTTTCTCTCTTGTCATTCTGTCTCTCCTCACTATTTTTGGTGCCACATCGCTCTTCCCTTGAGCCGTTATACCCGTCGGCGGCTGGCGACAACTGTGTTCAATCCAAGGCCGAATCGAGGATGCTTCGCGATGATCTGCTCCTCTAGGAGATCACGGCCTCTTCAGTGGTCGTATCCTTATCGACACCAGGTAGAATCGTCTCCTCGGGCGCCGACTCATCCACAAACTTGCGCTCACTGATGTGATCCTTCTCGCCACCGTTGGTGCTTCCGCTGTTGCTGCCGTCGGCCGTCCATACCTTGTCGGGGAACGTTCCACGCTGGCCCTCTTCATGCTTGAAAGTGCAATAGCGGTTGGTACATGGCCGGAACTTGCACATTGTCTGTATGTGTGTGAACTTGCAGCCGCGGACGGAGCAGTCGGCGCCATTGCGGCACAGCGGCATGGCCGGGTGGCGGAACTGGCAATGCGGGTTTGTACAGTTGGGGAAGAACTTGCAATCCTGCTCGCTCTGGTGGGCCGCACGGGCGGCTGGGGATGGGTGGCGTGCTGTGCACTTCTTGTTCTTGCAGGCGGCACCAAAGCTACACGCCTCCTGAACGTTGACAGTGATGCCGGGCGGCGCTGCAGGTGACTGGTGCGCGAACTTGCAATTTTCGTTCGCACAGTTAAGGTTGAACTTGCACATAGTCTCGGCTATACTAGAAGTCTCTGGCCGGGTCGTGTCGCTGTTCATGTCAAAATCGTCGAGGGTAAGGGACTCGCCATCGGCGGCGTTGTTGTCCTTCTTTTCTGCGTCGTTGCCGGCGTCACTTGAAATGTCCTGCTGCCCGTTCCGGAAGTTCTTATTGTTCTGGTGGGGGCGCTGGATACGGTCAGCCAGTGGGCGGCCACGGTTGTTCATTCCGCCGCGGCGGTTGTTGTTGTTCTGCATCATGTTCTGCTGCATCTGCATCTGCTGCTGCATTTGCATCATCATACGCGACTGCTGTTCAAGCATGGCGTACACGTCCATGGGCCCTGGCTGCATGGATTGCTGGCCAGTAAGCGCCTGTTGGCCGGGTTGGCCAGGCTGTCCAGGCTGACCCACCCAGGGCATGCCTGGCTGGCCACCACCCATCCCAGCGTTGGCGAGAGCATGGTTGAAGCTGGCGGTTGCACGGCCGTTCATATGCCGTGGTTGGCGGCCGTTTCCGAAACCGCCCATACCTCCTCGGCCATGTGGCCCACCGCGGGCGTGCGTGTTAATACCGCTGCCCTGACCACGGACGCGGTGCAGTACTGAATCGTTCGAGCGGTCCATTTGGCGGTTGATCTGTCCCACCACACGCTTGTCCCGTCCACCACGGAAGCCACCTGCACCGCTTCCGCTGCGCATGGCCTTAGGTCCTGTCGGTCTGCACACGGATGTTAGTAAATCTAGGTATAAAAAGGGGCAGAAGAGTCGGGGGAATAGTACTTACGCGCCAATATCACCAACGCTGTCGGCACCCGTGAGGTCCATCTCCACATCTTGGTCTGCGTTGTCATGAGCAGGAGCGACTTGAGCCGCAGGTGGGCCGTTGATTGTCGCATTCTGTGTCTCGACGGTTTCAAAGAGCCATTTTGAAAATTCACGTGCACTGTTATCTTCAGGGTCAAGGTTGAGGAGGTCTCTGGCAAGCTCCCCCGAGATCTCGTCTTCTTGTCTTCCGTTGACGAGCATGAGGATGATGTATTCGGCCATCGTGTTGTCGCTATCGTCACTGGGTGCCCACCCGTTTTCAGCAAGCTTCTTCTGGACCTCGCGCTGCAGAGCCTCCGCCAGAGGCGATTGCATCGTAATTTCGACAGGCATTGCGAGATGTGCGTGATGGCACGTGGCCTGCTGGGTAATAAGTAAGAAGGGTGGAGAAAGGCTCGTAGGTCGGTCGCCGTAGAGGCAAATCGCGACAAGATGCAAGGCTCGATATGAGCAGCTGCAACTGGATGCGCGCAAGTGCGTATGCTGTTTCGAAAGGACAAATCCGGTACTACCTCGATCGCAAAACGGGAGGAAACGAGTTGTCTTGTGCTTGCGGTTGGTGATGTCGGTGGGGATAGAAGTCGTAGGGAGCACAACGTGTGGCAATCAGTTTGAAGAGCTCTGCAGAAAATTGAAATGCTTTCGATGCGCCTCCCATAAAGGAAATTTGTCGCTGGTGTGCTGCGACCGGCATCCTTGGAGCAGCATGCTAGCGCGACAAATGACGCGCTTTCATTGGCCCACTGCCAAATGCTGTCACGTGCTGCACAGTGAATTGATGGTTTCAGAAACAGATGGCAGGCGCTGGAACCTAAAAGGCGTCCTGAGGCACCGAAATGGATTAGTCATTTGTAGTTTCTGGTGGCAAATCTCAATTGCCTAAATAGGAACAGCGGGCAACAGCATACTCAATGTGTCTCAGGGACAGCTGTGGCACTCCGAGACTCCACAGCCGCGCTCCCGCACCCATAGCTTCACTATCCAGGTGTTATGCCGCGCT